GAGAAGACAAAAAAAAAAATTAATCGTCAAGTGATGATTGTGATTCACGATTATCACCAAAACGATTCGATTGAGTTAATAATTGATAAAGTTGTTCATCATTTATACAACCATCAACAAATTCTTCTCGTGTTAAAATTCCATCGGAATTTTTATCCATCATACGAAATATATTCATTGCACGTTCATCAGCTTCAATTTGTCGTTCATGTTGATCATATTCATCAGATATTAATTCATAAATAGCCTTTAAAAAAAAAATAAAAAAATTTCAAAGATTAAAATTTTTTTTCAAATTCATTTTTTCTTTTTTCTTCTTACACTTATTATTCGTCGCATTTCAGTTTCATCTATTGAACCATCACCATTACAATCATACATACGAAAAGCCATGTCTAATTTTTTATCAGGTGTACCTTGAGATGTTATATTAATTGCTTGTAAAAATTCTTTAAAATCAATTTTTCCACTATTATCTGTTTCAAAACAAAAAAAATAAATAAAGATTTACATTAAAAATATGAAAATTTTTCATTGTTTTTAATTTACCAGAGTCAAATGCACGAAAAACATGCTCACAAAAATGTTCAGCACGTCCTTTAGGAAAAAATTGTTTATAAATTTGAATAAATGACTCACGTGTTAATTCACCGTTTGGACAATCGGCCTAGAAAAACCCTAGAAAAACCCCCAAAAAAAACACCTTTCGAAGAAAAAAATCAAATCATACCATAAAACCTTTGTACCAATTTTTAATTTTCTTTTCTGAATATGTCGTATGAGTTTTTAAAAATTGTAAATCTTCTTGTGATAACTCATGCTTAGAGCTCGTACAGCCCATCAACAACAGTTGAAATCATGTGCGTTGTAAAACAAAAATACTAGAAATAATATAAATGATTTTAGATTAAAACTTAATATATTTAATATAAGTATTTAGATCCTCTCCTCCCAAAAAAAAAATAAATATTGCATAAAAACTATGCCAATGACATCGATACAAAGAAACGGAAATTGCTAGAAACGATAAAGATCTCCTCCTTCTCTCGTTTTTTTTTTCTTGCTCAAGTAGATGAATATGAACGATGAATGAAGTTGATGTTTCTTCCGTCATCGGGTACCATTTAATGCATCAATCGTCTAACATAGGCACTCTGAACAATTTGCATAAACATACTTGCTATCTAGTTTTTCGGATAGGTTCAACATTCGCTCTCTTTTTCTCTCTCTCTCTCAGGACATTTACTCATCTTTCTCTCTGTGGTTTAATGTGATTAGCATTACAATTCTATAACATACTCAACACACATATCTACTTGTCTAAATGCACAAACTTCTTTTTTTTTTTTTTGAGTTTCTTGCATATTTTCATGATTGATTATTTGGTTCTTATTCAAACAAATACGAATAGAAATACAAGAAAAGAAAAACAAACTATGATAATATTTTAATATTAAAAGAAGATCAATATGTAACCATTTATAACTATGATGATCAATGTATGTCAATATCAATAAATAAATAGATAATGATTTACATATTAAATAAACTTAATATTGATTTTTTTTTAACTCAAAGAAAATAAAACTTTTAATTAAATATTCTCATTTTTTTTTAATTTATTTATGAGAATGTTAATATTGATTCTTATCATACATATTTATTATTTTAAAATGCAACAAAGATACTTAAATCTAACAAAATAATATTCTTACCTGATTATTTAAATTTAAATAAACTAATGAATATCTTCTTTTGCACTCTGTTACATCGATTTTATAAAGAAAAGATATACCGGAAGAAAAACTATATATCTTTTTTTTTTCACTTAGAAAGATAGGAAAGGAGAAGTATAATCTGATTAAAGATATAGAGAAGAAACAAAAAAAAGGTGCTGATTATCTACTGACGTCAATATTTTAATCGATGAATGCACGAATGCAGATATTATTTATACGAGAATCACTTTAATATAATAATTAGATAATTTCCAATCACTTAACACTTTTTTCTCGATTACTTCTATTTCAGCTGGTATTTGTTATTATATTCAGAGCAGAAAAGTATAAGAGAAATGAAGATTTTTTTCTTTATCTTTTATGTCTAAAATTATGATTAAAAAGCACGTCTCGACTGGTTCAACAAAAATTACAACGAACAGTATATACTAGATTTTTTTTTTCTTCTACTGTTATTTGTTACAATAAGATCATAATAATAATAAAAAAAAAAAGAATAAATGTAATAATAAAACTACTCGAAATGATTGTCCATTTTAGATTTCCCAAATGACAAAAGTAAAATAATAGTAGAAGTTTTGAACTTAAACAAAAAGAAAAAGCAGAAAAACGGAGAAACAAGATCTGTTTTTTTTTTCTATTTCAATTAATCTTACTATATTTATTATATTAAATATAAAAAAATAAAATAAAAGAATAGATTGTTCAATTAATTTTTTTTGAAAATAAAAAATACGCACTTAAAACTTTCATAGACATAATATAAGGAAAAAAACGTTTTAGTTTTTTGTTTTTTTTTATTCTATAGTCAATAAATGCAAAGAGTAAATAAATAATGATCTATTTAATAATAAAAAAAAAAAAAAATCTCTTTTTCCGATTACACTCATTCGTCGTCGGTAGTCTATTTATGTGAATGATGTTACTTGTGCACTCTAATAGCAATAATTACGATCGAAGTAAACGAGAAATATAAACGAAGAAAATAAAAGAATAGTAATAAAAACTAACAGAACAATTTTATACATTTTCTATTATTAATTGAAATAGAACAAAAAATAAAAAACGTATAAACGAAAGAGAGCAAGAAAAAAACTTAAGAAAAGTGATAATTATATTTAATATAAAATGTTTCTATGCTTTATTATTTTTCTTCTACTATATATATATATTCGCACTATCCAATTTGTTAAGTGTGAATAGATTCTTGTTTCAATCAATTCCGCTTTTTAATAATATTCGAAGAAGAAAAAAAAAGAAGAGACGAAGCAATGGAAAAAAAAAGAAGAAAAAGAAAAAAAGCTCGACGATAACTGTCGTTCACTGACTGTCATGACTACTACTACTCGTGCTTTTCAATAATTGAATAAATCAAGCTGTATTTATAACAATACCTTCATCGGTGTTTTTTTTTTCTTCTCTATTTTTGTTAATATATTGATGTAGCATGTTAAATGAACATTCGAATAATTACTATTTATATTTTTAATCGACATTATCATAATGCATATATATAAGACCAGTATTCATATGACTGATTACATCTAAAAATAGAGTAATTTCCTTTTTTTTTTTTTTTTTATTAACAAATGAACAAGAAATTGTGGTTCGTTTTTTTTTTGTATATGTGTGTATCTGACTATGATGATTAGAATATAATTAAATTTATATAGCTAATAATAAAACTATTGGACAATGATCTGACCCAAATACATTATTTTGAATAACAACATCACATAGATATTCTTGAAGATTTGTTGATAATATAAAATAATCTAATCGCCAACCAATATTTCGTTGACGAGCATTTCGAAAATAAGCCCAATATGTATAAACATCACGTTTATCAGGATACAAATAACGAACTAAACAATCAAATATATATTCATATTATGTTGTTTTCAGTATAGCAAAAAAAAAAAAAACAAAAAAAGATATTTACATGAATCAATAAATCCATCAGCAAGAATTTTTGAAAAATCATCTCGTTCTTCTTTTGTAAAACCAGCATTTTTTGTATTAGTTTTTGGATTAGCTAAATCAATACTTTGATGTGAAACATTCAAATCACCACACCTAATAGAAATAAATCATTGGTTTTTTTTTTCGAGTAACTTTTTTTTTTTTTAAATTAATTTACCATATTACTGGTTTTTTTTTATCAAGTTCTTTTAAATATGTATGAAATACTTGATTAAATTTTTGTCGATAAGCTAAACGTACAAGTTTACGACCACTATTAGGTATATATGATATAACAAGATAAAATTTATCATATTCAGCTGTTATAATACGTCCTTCAGTATCATGTTCAGCTATACCAATACCAAATTTAACATCAATAGGATCTATTTTTGTTAATAGACCAACACCAGAATAACCAGCTATCAATGAAAAATCAATGATTTAATGTATAATTTAATTTAAAATATAATTACCTTGATCACCAGAAAGCCAAAAAGATTTATAACCAAGAGGTGTTGCTTCTTTTGGAATTTTATCTTTATCACATTTTAATTCCTAAAAAAAAAACAAAACAAAACAAAAATGATTAAATAAATAGAAAAATGAAGTTTACTTGAAAACAAATTATATCTGGTTGTTCTTGTTCAATATATTTTAAACCATGATTAGTTAACCATGCACGAATTCCATTTATATTCCATGATACAAGTTTTAATGTTGATTTTTCACCTTTACATGATAAACGATCTGATGTTTTTAATATCATTGAAACAGTTTGTTTGATTTCCTTTGAATGTTCTTCAATATTTTCTGTATCATGATTTTCTTCTTCTTGAATTGATCCAGTTTTTTTTATTTTCTAAATTGAAATATCATTATTTTATTATGTAAAATGTATTATTCTAGAAGAAATTAAAATCTTACCTTGACTGGTGATGTAGAAGCAATTCGTTTTTTTCCTTTTTTTATTTGTATTTTATTCATAGATTTTTCATCAATTTTATCTTCAATTGTAATAATTGATTTTGATTCTTTATCTTCATTTTTATTATTTTTTATTAAACTACGTTTAGATACAACATTTTGAGTTGCTTTTAATTGTATTATTTTTGACATCTAGAATAGATTTAAATGTACTATGGAAGATTTTCTCCTATATTAATAAGAGAATATCAATAACTAGAAAATAAAAGAATTGGACAGGAACAAAGGACAAAGAAAAAGTGTTAAATAGTCATTTTGAAACTACACACTAACTCTTGTGAAAAATTTTTATTTTTATTTTTTTTTTTGAATTTAATCCCATAATTTAGCTTCGAACATCCAAGGTTTACGATGTCCAAATTTCATTCCAATTCTTGCTTCAGGATATTCATCAGCTTGAGTTATTAATGGTGGATCTGGAACTTCTAATTTTGGTGGATGTCGTTCCAATGAACCAAGACGAAATGGATCAGATGGTATTGGTCGTTTTGTATCATGCATACGAACCATTGAAAAATAACCTGGTTCCGGTCGTTCTAAATTCATTTTATCTTTTGCACATTGTTCAAATGCTTTCTGTTCTTGTTTACAACTAAGAAAAAAACAAAAATTTTATATTTGAATATAGAAAAAAAAAAAAAAAAAAAAAAATTAAGCATACTAATTAAATGACATTTCACCATCCCGTGCATTATCAAGACATGTCCAATATGTTGTAAATGTATCATTACATGTATCACGTACTTTACGAAAATAATCAATAGCACATAATGAAACATCTTTGCCTTCTTTTATACATTTTCGTGGATCTTGTTCTTCCTAAAAAAAAACAGAACAAGTGAGGTTTTTTTTTACGCAGAATTTTGAGTTTATTTATAGTTCATGATAGACATTTTTGCCGGAAATAATCTATGGTAGATTAACGAAGTAAGATTCTTTATGTCTGTCATAAATCCTCTTCCTGTATGCATTGTGACACATTTTAATGAATATTATCTTCTCATCATTCGATGCACAATATCATTACAGAGTTATTTATAATCTTCTTCCATTTTCATCAGAACACACACAAGTGATTCAAATCGAGCAAAAATATAATAGGCGCTATACCGGTAGAAGTTTGATATTTAGATGATCGAATATTTTCTGATCGTGATTAAAAATGTGTAGGATCACTCATTCCGATCTAGACAATATTTAGTTGAATGACATCTAAAAAAGATTCTTCAATAGTCTATGTTTGGTTTATTTAATTGACGACTAGTACATTTTTGTATCATCACTCTTAGATAAATGTTCTGATTGATGTTTTGCTTGAATACCATAAAATATTTGGGTATCATTTTTAGTTTCAATTAAATCTACACTCTTAATATATCTCGTAAAACAAACATGTAACATGGACAATTCCATCATATGCATTGATCAAACTTTTTCTCTCCTGGCTTTGGACTACAGAAAAATAAAGTGTTAGAGTCCGTTAGGTTATCACTGAACTTGATGGGCTCTAAAAGAGAGAAAGATTGTTGATAACTATAAAGGAAAATTTTTATTTTATTAAAATGTTGCTAAAATCTTTTTATTAAATATTAAATGATTATCATTTGATGATATATAACTATCCAAGAATTTCATTTTTTTTTTTCATATCAAATACAAACCTGTCGACATAACATAAATTCCTAAAATAAAATAAATTCTTTTTTTGTTTTTTATCAATATAATATAATATATCAATAAACCAACTTTAAATTGTAAATCACAATATTTAGCCAAATGAAAACTTCCTGCACGAAGTGCTGCTGATGATACATTTACAACTGGACATTCCAATTCATCATATGCAGGTAATTTAAGATCCTGTGTAAAACTCATTCTTGTCTACAAAATTCAAAAAAGAAACAACAATACGAATAAGAAGATCATATTTTGAAAATTTTTCTTTCTTCTCTTTTATTCATATACATAATTAAGAATTCCACACACACAGACACACTGAATATTGCTTGATAACAAAAAGAAAAAAAAAACAAACAAACAGATAAAAATGATCGACATTAGATGTCAAAAAAAAACAACAAACGAAGAAGACTTGAACTAATCTATTTTAAACATTTGTTTGCTCAAATGATTCAGGTGAAACTAATAAATGTATATGACGGGCCAAACGCACCGTATGCTTTTCTTCAATAATATCTTGAGCAGTGCACAAATCGACCTATAGTAAAAATTAAAAAAAAAGGACAACAACAAACAAACAAAAAAAAACAAATCATGACAAATACTAAACACACAAATGATGTGCTAATTAATTAGTTAATTATTATTATAAATAATAGTGATAATAAATAAATAAGAAAATACTTAAAGCAAGAAAGACAAGCAAAAAATTAGCAATTGTTTTATCAATAGATGAACATAAATTATTGTCACATAAATCTTGTGTATTTAATGCAATTAATTTAAGATAATTTATTGTTAAAAATAAACGATATAAGCCAAGCTGTTGTGTTTGATTAGAATTTGATCGATCAAATGGTATGATGATATCAGTTAGTTTAACAAGGCAAGGCTATAACACACGCAAACTCATGCTAGATATATATATATAGTTGTTTTTTTTTTTAATGTTATCATGCAAAGTCATTCTATCCAAGCACATGCTAATTTTTTTTTTTTGTTTAGTATCTCAGCTCATGTTTTTTTTAGAAAACTTACCTCTGGAACACCAATACGACGACTAGCTTCAATAAAATTTTCGACATTTCGTCGACATTTAGCTAAGGAAAGTTTTGGCTAGATATATGTACAAAATTAATTTAGTTTTAATTATTAAAATAAACATTCTTACGACTGCTTGTGAAGGTACATGTATACTTTGAACAGAACGTGGTCGAATTTGATTAATAAAATGACATAGAACAACACCATCACTTAAGGCATAACCTATATCATCGGGTAATATCACTTTTAAACGTTCTTCAATTGTCTGTAATATACGAAACAAAAATATATTTTATTGATTTATATAAAAATTTGAAAAATACGTTTAAACTATTATATTGAGTAATAAACACTAACGTGGACATATCCAACCTAGAGTTCAGACTTTACGAACTTAAATTCCTACTATAGGGGTTTTATTTTGAACAGTGTCTTATTTAGATTTTCCCGTCCGGAAGAGCACACACTAGCACTTCGTACGTGTTTTCATAACTAGAAACTCAGACAGAGCAAATTCAATCTTTGTAAGAGTGTGAAGTTCTTGGCTCTTACACTCCATAAAACACTGCTGCAAGGAAGGCTTTGAGATATTCTTGTACCAGAGATGAGCGAGGCGCGATGCATCGTTAGATTTCGCAGTTTGCTCGTGCGTTGGAACTACTATATTTTTTTCAGAGAGTTCTGCTCGATGAAATACTCACTTCCCCCGTAGAAGGCAGCAGTGTCGAAGGGCTGAAAAATAGGAATTCTTAATCTATCGAGGAATGGTCAGTCACGCTGTAATAATTCCTAATTGAAATTGAAATCGACCATTGTTACTTCTTTCGTAATTTCTCGGGTGGAAATGAGTGTCAGAGCAAAATGTATCATGAATATTCTACATTTGTAGCTTTAATATTCACTGAACAACATAAGAACAATTTTTCAGTTCTTGAACACCCTTTTTCCATTAACACTCACACTTATGCTCCTTATTTATATGTATTGGAATTATGTAATGTCGTATCATGAAACAAAAAAAGTATTTATGCGGAACGACTACAAAATTATGATCCCTAAATGTAAGTTGTTGTTGGCAGACAGGGCGCATTTTTTAGCCGCCCCGTCCATCTCTGTTTCGTACAATCTAAGTTTTGTTGTAATACAGTTAGATATAAGTTTGAATTTTTTTGTTGATGCATGTAAATTTTTATTTTAACCTTTTTCATTTGTTCTAATTGTAGATGATCTTCTTTAACATGAAGTAAATGACGACGTATAGTAAATGCTGAATTATATTCTGTATCATCTAATGATGATTGTTGATGTTGACCATTTTTTAAAGAAGAAACTATAAGATAAAATTTATAAACATTTTTGTTTGTTTTTAATTAATTTAAAATACCTCTTGATTGTATATGAAAATTGATTGTATTTCGATTAGACTAAAAATAAGTAAAATAAATAATAAAATAATTTTTCGATAATAATAATAATTTTACATTTGTTTCATGAATATCAAAATATTTTAATTTATCTAGTCGATTTTCTTCAAAATTACTATATTGTAAATCATTCTAAAGAAAGAAATATATATAATCTTGAAAATCTTTACATTTTATTTTTTCTACCATTCGATCATAATTTGATATTGAATTCATCATAATATTTGGTGAAGATTTTCTTAACACACACAAAAAAAAACATAATAAATTTTTGATTTTTATTTTATTTTATTTTTTTTTACATTGATTGATCAATTGTTTCTGAACTTGTATATTGTCTATTCATTATTCCTATACTATCATATGAATTAATTGATTCATTAGGTAATGATCGTTGTTGACAAAGATAATGATAATTATGTCCATTATTAATTTTTATATCATTATTACTACTAATTAAATTTGGTTCAACACTTATTGCACGATTTGTACGTATTAATAAATCATCTACTATTGAATTATCTATTGATAATGAACGTTGATATGAAGTATAATTTTCAATATTATCATTTATTAATGTATTTGATATTGAAGATTCAACATTTGATAATTGTCTAGATAATATTGATGATGGTCGTGAATGTTCTTTAGATGAAAAATTAAATAATTGCATATGTCTACTACAAATAAAAAAAAAATAATAATAATGAATAAAAAGTTATAAGAGCATGAGCATGAGCAATCTAGAGCCATTCTTCTTTAAAGTCTTATTTCTACTATAATGCAATTGTGAATATTGTTGACTACAAAATAAATTTTAGAAGTATTTGTTTTTATTATTAGATAAAGATTAAAAATAAAAATAAATAGTGTACTAAACGTGCATAGTATATATATATATATATAAAAAAAAGAGCTAAGTGAAGTATTAATGTCATTCAAAAAAACTGCTGCATATATGTTGATTTTATGTTTTAACTATAATAGAGGAATAAAATAAATATTGAATGAAAAAATTCCAAAAATTTATTTATCAATTCTAACAAAATATTTCGAAGTTTAAACATGTAAATTTTGAAATTTATATAATGCAAACATAGTGAACATTCGAGAAAATGACAAGGATGGCAAAAAAAAACGGACAGTGAATTGCATGTAGCTGAACCAGACCAAAGTTATTGTGTAAGTGTATAAGTAGAGCCTACTGGATCAAAAATTTTCAAACTTAGGCGCTATTTATTGAACCTTTTCTGACATTTTTCATAAAGCTCTCAAGCTAAGATGGTTTCTTCTAATCACATATGTTAGTCACTGCTTACTGAAAACAGTACAGACGAGCGAATAAACCCCTCCCCGTAATAGAAGTCCCCTTTAAAGGATCTATCCAGCAAAATTTTCAATTTTTCCCAGCAAAATCCGGCCAAAGTTTGCAAGGCCTAATAGAAGCCCCAGGGGCTTCTAATGGGGGTTTAGGCTCTTTCTAAGAAACATGAGTGTTCAACAGCAGAGCGCGTCAATCAAATTTGGACTGAAACTAAAAATATGACTTTTATGGATGATGCCCTAACACCTATAAGTTTGAAACATCTTGCTGTGATAATGGAACTCATTGAGTCATCATTATTTTATTTCCTATTATGAAGCGAAGTTCTCTATGTCTAGTTAAAACTTTGTAAAAGTATTCCCTTGTTAGAGAAGATTAATATTTTGATAGAAAATGAACTAAATAAACACAGATCTATGACCAGATTAAGTCTTTAAAGATTTGTGGTAATAAGTGTAATATTTTCAGTAAAGAATATGATCAATAAGATTAAGTGAGAAATCTCTTCTTCTTTCTTACTTGATGCAGAAGTATAGAAAGTATTCACAATTAAAATAAATTTCTTCATCGATTCAACTGTTTGTTAATAAAAAGAAAACAATAGGTATCACCTGTAGTTTTTCGTTTCAATAAATGATAATAAAAATTTTGTTTATTTTTTAGTATAAAGAAAGTTTGTTCAGTAAATAATTCATTTTCTCAAATTACAGAAGACTTTTTGGCAAAAAATAAAAAAAAACATATCATTCTTCGAAATTTGAGTAATATTATATGTAAATTTAATTCATTTTTTTTTAAACTAAACATCAGTTAGTTTTTGTTTATTACAACTAAATTCTAATACCTGTTCTCCATTTTTCGTCGAGCATCTTCTCGTTGTTTTTCCATTTTAGCTAATTTTTCATCATGTGTTCGTCGAGCAATTTCTCGAGTTTTTGCTCTCTATATAATTTAAAATTATTTCTTGTTTTTTAATTTATATAAAATAAAAATACAAAATCTTACTTGACTTTCTGTTTCACCTAATTGTTGTAATAAATGTAATTTTAATTGATATGCTTGACATTTCTTTTTTTCATATTCAGCTTTTTGTCTTGCTAATTCCTATTGATAATTGAGAAAAAACAAAAAAAAAATTATATTATTTTGCACAAATAATCATATATAGAAATAAATTGCAACTTTTCGGTACAATTAATGACAAAAAAAACTTAAAAATAGATATCACTATGCTATATATGGCAAAATCATTTGTTAGCGACGTGACACAAAAAAGGACATCAACTTCCACTTCATGCATTTTAATTTAAAAAAACTTCGAACTAATATAACCTTTTTGAAAACTAAATGATACATTCTGTAGATGACTCATAGGAGTGTAAAATCCCTACTCGAAGTTTTTTTTGGAGTACGCATACATTTTCCAAAAAATTCGATTTACTTTTCGTTAGCGACGTGATGGAGTACGAATATGCAAACGAAAAAATGCTCATGAAAAGTTCAAAACAAATTTAAAATAATACGAATTCTTTTTCAGGATCTTGAAATGATAATAAGACAAAAGTTTTCTTTTCGGAGCTTAATAGGATATGTAGAGGACCGGTTTTTATAAGGAAAATTTTTGGAGTCCGATCTTACTAAAAATTTTACCATAGATGTGGCTCGAGCTCTAGAGTCTATCCTGAAATTTTTAGATTTTTCCTTCATATGGTTGGAGAAATATTCACTAATTACTTCTTAATTAAGTAGCATCTGAAAGAGCCAACATTTTTACATATGTCTATGCTAAAAGAACTTATTCAAAAAAAAACACTTGTGTCAAAAATCAAAGTCAAATGAAAGAAGGGGATATGTCCTGTTTTGTCCATATTTACGTTACACAACGAAAGCTTTCTTTTTTTTAACAATACTATTTTATAGATCACAAAATGAAGAGTCATCGAATCGTTCAATGAGAAACAAGAATTATTAGTCAAAATCTTAATCGTATCAAAAAGTTGCAATATATTCATATGTATATACTTTAGAAAATTCATCAGCAAGGGTAAGCATAAGCGTAGGTTCACTACGAAGCGAATGTTCATTTGGCATGCTTATTATAGAATCATCCTGTAAGAACAATGAAGATAAATAAATATATATATACACAGACAAAACAAAATAAGCATTAGGTTATATTTACATCACCAATCGTTTTTTCACTGCCTTCAGTTGTTAAATAACCTGAATCGGATGGTAGTACTGTTTTTTTCATTTGTGTACCACATTGTAAATGTCTATAAATAAAAAAAAAAATATGTATTTTTTTTTCTATTATTTGTTCTTTTTTTTCTTTAATCAAATTATTTGGTTTTTTTTTGTATAGTCAATTGAAAGATTGTTTTTTTTTAATTAAAAACATGTTTAAAAACAAAATTAAAATTAAAACTTTTTAGTAAACATGAAAATAAAAAGCAGTTAGAAGATCAATAAAATGAGCATTAGAATTTATTTAGAATGCTGTTCGATTTATCCTATGAAAAAGAAAAATAGTAATATATTATTAATATGTAATTTAATTTCTATTGAATTATAAAACAAAAAACAACAACGAAATTCAGTATTAGTATATATTATATACCTCAATGAATATAGATATATTGTCATACCAAAATAATTTTTTTTAATCAATGTAGTTTGACTTAATATTGAAAATTAAAAATATATTTATATGATACTAATTAAATTTAAACACATTCTATAATAAATATGCGAACTCTGACTTGATGTTAGAATTTAATTTTGTTGAGAAGAGGATATTCAATATGTCTATCATCTTTCAAGTAATAAGAAAGTTGTGTTGAACTGTTTTTTAGTCAGACAAGCAAACCGCATTCTATTGAATGATGAGAAAAAGAACACACCTAACATATGGCATTTATCTTAATATATTCTTACGAATATATGTATAGTATTGATTTGCAAGTTGAGAATATAAACTTTTCAAGTTACATTTCTCAATCTCTTATGACAGTATGCTCGAGATTTAATTCATCTTGTAGAATCATATCTAGCAATAAAAGGGTTCTGTTTGTCAAGAGATCGAATGTTCACTTTAAGATTTTCACATTTGCAATAAGACCCTACTTTTTCAAAGGCTTCATATCTTGCAGATACTTACGAGAGAACCGTTCGAGGTGCCGAACATCGTTTTTACCTCATTTAATAGAGCATACTGAAATAAGAAAAAACCTATGAAGATTTGGGCTCATGACTCTTTCTTCAAAAATTATGGTTGTTTTACTGAATTTTCAACCCGTTTCTAGCTATTTATCGGAGAAACTAAACTATGGTATTTCGACCTAAAATTTTGCCTATATATAAGTCAAATGGTTCTTAGAATATCCTGAAAGTTTCAGCCAAAAAGAATATTCCTTTCTCAAGATATTAATTTTTCAAAAAAAAGAGTTGCTCACCACAGAGAGGTCACAAAAACTGAGTTCACTTGAAAAAAACAATAATATTCTTTTTGGCTGAAACTTTCAGGATATTCTAAGAATCATTTGACCTATATATCGGCAAAGTTTTACGTTGAAATTCCATAATTTAGTTTATCCAGTGAACAGGTCGAAAATTCAGTAAAACATCCATCATTTTTGAAGGAAGAGTTATGAGCTCAAATCTTCATAGGCTTTTTCTTATCTCAATATGCTCTATCGAATGAGATAGGAATGAATCAAAACAGAGTTGGGCACTTCGAGCGATTCCTTCATTAGTTTGAAAATTCTGACATTTTTTATACAAACTATTCTAATTGAGGTTTTGTGATAGACGAAATTTGAAAAAATATTTGATTCAATGAGTCTAGTCGTTTGTGAAATGCACTTGATATCCTAGTACCAGACATTAATATAGAGCTAAGTATACAAAACTAGCTTTAGAAAAGATCGAAATATTGATTTATACACATTTCAATCGAGTGAATTCTTATTGCTAACGAATAGCATTGTTCATATACTAATATAATTTAATTCATTTCCTTTATATATTATGTTAAATCAACTATATTTTTCTCTAATCGATCTTATGTAATTGCATTTTTCTTTTTCTTGTTCTGTAATAACAAAAATTATATTATTTGAGCTAATGTATTGTTATCTTCTCTTGGGGCATTTTCTTTTTCTTTCAGATTAAAAGAAAAGTAATTTGTATAAACTATATAATTACCTTGATCCTTGATATGAAAATGAATTTCGATATTTTGTATTAATTTCATGTTCAGTTAGAAGTCCACGTCGTTTTTCTTCTTTCATAGCTTCAACAAGAAGAAAACGCATTATATGAAGTAAACCAAGTGTACAAATCTTTAAAAAAAACAAAAACAAAGATCTTTCTATTGAATAATACAAATTCTTTTTTTTGTTTTTGTTTTTATTACCGATGCAGGTGGACTTTCTAATGGATTATGTTCAACATTAAGTTCAATTAAACTAACCATTTCTCGTAAATTTAATGGTAAACGAGTAATTCGATTAAATGAACAATCAAAATGAATTAATTTTAAATTACATAATTCTAAATGCAAAACAAAAAAAAACGAAGATCTTTCAGCAAGAATAAAAACCCCTTAAAAATCAAAACATGCAAAAAAAAAGAAATTTCAACTTTTTAGTTTTTATTTTGTTTATGCAAAAATAAAAAAAAAGCATTGGAGGTTTTTAAGCAATACCTGTCTATTGATAAAAATTTGAATAGAATACTAATTATTGATTAGAAGTTTTTATAGAAATATCTGATTATTATTATTTTTAATATTTACCTGTTGGTAATTCACTAATCATATTTCGACGAATATTTAATGTACGTAAACATGTTAATGTTCCAATTTGATATGGTAATTGTAATATATCATTTGAACTGACATCCTATTGAAAGAATAATTTTTATTTTATTTTTTGTTTTATCAATACATTTTAATTTTCTGAAATAAACTACAAAACTCAAATATTACTAAGTCAAATTAACTAAAATAAAATGTCTATTAAATATACTCTATAGAAAAAGACGTTTACAATGTAATATTTTTCTTTTTGTAAAGCATTTCTCCTTCATCATTGAAATGTTTCCGATTAAGTAGATTAAAATAGTTTTGTTTCGAAGGTCATATTTTGATGAATAACTTCATCGTCTATATACATCCGGAATGAAGAACAAGCAAACTATCCACTTAATGCAAATATTAGTATCCTCTAATATTTTAATGATTGATCAATTAAAGAAAATTATTTAATACAATCTCGACAGAATGAATATATCAAATATAATGTATAACTACTGTTGCTCATTATAAAGTGATTATTTTATTCTATGTAACATAAGTTCTTTTTTTTTTCCTTTCTGATCAAATTAACATAAAAATCTTACTAATTCAATTAAATTTTCTAATTGACCAATTTCTTCAGGTAATGAAATAAGTTTATTATTATTAATAATTAAAATTTCTAAATTAGGTAATTTACATAATTGTGATGGAATATAAGCAAGTTGATTACGACTAAAATTTGAAATAAATTATTTTTATTTTTAAAATAAAAAAAAAAAAAAAAAAAAAACTTTCGTTTACCTTAAATCAAGAATTTTAAGCATACGAATTTGTATAATTTGTTCTGGTATTGATTTAATAACATTATGATATAGATTAAGACGTTCAAGAGAAAAAAATGAACATAATATATGTGGAAATTCAATAAAATGATTACGAGAAAGATCTAAATAAAATATTTGTAAGAAAATAAAATTTTTTCTTTATTAAATGAAAATAACAAACCAGCTATAATTGTATCTGATAAATCACATTTATTATTTGTATAAGAATAATTTGGAAAATCTCGAAGTTTACGACCATTTAATATAAGTTCACCTGTATAAGCAGCTTCATCAAGTGCACGTTCAATACTTCGACTTAAATTATGAAGAGATTTTATTTTATTTGTATTAATTATATTTGTTGTTGAAGAATCATTTGATAATGTAGATGTTGTGGCCATGTATAAACATTCGAAATTACTTTCTTTTTTTTTTCTTAAATAATTATTATTAAAAATCTAATAAATATCAAGTTTATGTTAAATATCATATGGATCATTCTATAGAAAATGTTTTTTCTTTCTTTATTTATTTACAATACATACATACATATATATATATAGCTGATGTGAGAGTATTGAAAACCAATGGAAATTTTTAGAAAGATGTCGCATGTTAAAGAGAATAAATGTAGTTGAAAATTAATATGGAAACTTAGTCTAATCGATAGAATAGATAGTAGCGTCTTTTTTTTGCCAAAAAAATAAGATATAATACCTAGATCAAATTGTGGATACTAACATAGAACAAAAAAAAAGAAAGAAATAGAACATAATGATAATGATTTCGATCATTTACACTATTAGATGTGATATATTTGATTATAGATTGGTTAGATCATTGATCGTTTGAATGAAAGAATTTATTTGTAAAAACATAAACAAATACCTTCTGTTGATGTCATTCTAACATTGATCTTCTCATTTTCTCTGTTCTTTCCTATGTTCACCATTCTCTTATCTAAACTTGTATCGACTGTGAGATAAACATATTCTTAAGATATGGAGTAACTCAATAAACATCATTACTGAGAGTAGTGATACAGCTACTACTTCTGTTATTTTTGGTAACATACTTTTCATAATATTATAGGCGATTAGCAGAGAAATTTGCTTTTTTATTCTTTCATTAGGCTCTTATCTTAGTGTCTGTTTATATGTCGATTAAGAAAATGAAGTAATGATGTTCATATGACTACAGATGTTTTTTCTCATCATATCTATATATAATCAACAAAAGAACGATTCATCATTGTTTCAGTATAGATATTGATTTCTTTTATCATATGAGATTATTCGATAGATGTCAATGAACAAAAGTTTAGATGCTTGACAATAGCTGAGATAGACGATTTAAAAACTACTTGAGAAAAATTCGTAAATAAAAGAAAAAAAACGAAACCATAAATATTTTATGTATAGATAAATTTTCATTATGTGCTGATTATTGAAGAATGCATAAATACAAAGTATATAAACAATTCTGCTTAGAACTTGTCAGATCTAAAATTTTAGAATCAGACCTAACTGAGTTCAGCGTCTACTCGATGGACTCTAGTTGTGTTTTAATTTTTCTGTAGTGACCTTTTGCTTAATCTTGGGACAAAGAATATAAAACCCATTTTTCGCCAAAAATTACGATGGTATACATGTGTACATGTTTGATCTGGGTTATTTATAATTTAAGGAGGTGTGACTGCGATATATCTATGAACTACGAAAGAAAATCTTTTGGTTGAAAATTCTATTCAGCCAGATTATTAAAACATGAGGTGACTTCGACGAATTGAAATATTAAAGAAATCTTGTAAATATAAGTTGAGATAGTTAAATGACATTGTCTTCAGCAAAAATTTCAAGTATTAATTGTTTACTAGATTTTCTTTTTTGATCATCATCTTCTCCTACTATTAATGAACGTTAAGCTTTGGATCGATTGATTAACATCGAAATGCAAGTTTTTTGACCATCTTATAAGCTGGCTTCATGTATTGATCTTGCTCCTAACAATATTTTTT